CAGCTGTGTTCTAACAGCAGGTCTCCTCAAAAAGAAAAGGGGCCTCAGCAGCCATACAAATAGCTATTTGAAAAAAAATCAGAAAAACTACCATTATTCACACATCACCATCTTAAATTGAGACATCTCCTGACCATTGTGACATCTTTGCTTTGCAAACAAAAGAACTGGGACGCTCAGGCTCAGTCTACAGAGTTAAGATGACAGAGGGCAGCTTACGTCAACCTAATAATGTCGCATCTACACTACAGTGTCCTTCCCACTGATGTCACTTGCCGACTACATTGACTTTAAATGCCAACTCCATGAGAGGCATAGGGCTTAAGTTGATGTAGTTAAGTTGATGCAGCACCACTGTAGACACTGTGTTGCTTACGTCAACTGAAGTGGCCTCCAGGAGGTGTCCCACAATGCCCCACTGTGACTGCTCTGGTCACCATTTTGAACTCCGCTTCCCAGCAGCCAGGTACACAGGAATAAGCCCCTCCCCTGTTGAAGGACTGCAATTTTTTTTGAATTTCCATTTCCTGTTTGCTCAGTGTGGAGCGCTCACTTGGCAACTGTCCACCTGAGCATGAGAGCTACATGCTTCAAACATGTCCAGCCTGGAGTACAGAGGAGGTGGTGGAACTCCTGGGTCTGTTGAGAGAAGAGGCTGTACAGGCAAAGCTTTGATCAAGCCATAGATAGAGGCAGCAGCTGTAAAACAAACAAAAGGAAGTATTTATTCACACAACTCACAGTCAACCTGTGGAACTCTTTGCCAGAGGATGGTGTGAAGGCCAAAACTATAACAAGGTTCAAAAAAGAACTTGATAATTTCATGGAAGATAGGTCCATCAATGGCCTCTGTTTGCCAGAGACTGAGAGTGGGCAACAGGGAATGGGTCACTTGACGATTACTTGTTCTGTTCATTCCCTCCTAAGCACCTGGCATTGGTCACTGTCAGAAGACAGGATACTGGGCTAGATGGACCTCTGGTCTGACCCAGTATGGCCATTCTTATCTTCTTATGTTCTATAATTAGATGTCACCAACTATCAAGTATGTACTCCTCAAGCACTGTGATAGATGATCCTTTGCACTAAGAATCACAATATTCCTGTGACATTATCTGATTAAAATATGACTATATAGACCATTGTTGCAACCACTGTTATATATTTGCAACAAATCTTGTACAAAATGTGGCATATAAGATGTCTGTGGAAAGGTTGTGATTTACTGGTTATGATTATGCTATCTGGATGCATGTATCCTTTTTGTATTTGAAGTTATAAGTATTGGCTCTATACCTGGATTTCAAATGTTTGCTTCTGGCAGATTGCTCGGGGCATGGGGGAGAAGAGTACAAGGGGGACCCGCAGCAGTGCTGCGTGAACATCAAGGAATTGCAGCAGGCATACCAGAAGGCAAGGGAGGCAAGCAGTCACTCTGATGCAGCACTGCAGACATGCTGCTTTTACAAGGAGCTGCATGCTATCCTCTGCAGTGACACCCCCTTCCCTAAGAGCCCTGGGGATATATTGGAGGAGTCAGAATCACAAGCCACCACAGGCAACCCTGGGGAGGAAGTTTTGGACAAGGAAGAGGAGGATGAGAATGGGGGACAGGCAAGTGGGGGAATCCATTGTCGTGGCGAGCCAGGAGCTGTTTGTAACCTTGGAGCAGTCCATCCAGTTCCAACACTCCAGCATGGGCGAGCGTGGTGCATGGCAAGGAACCTCTGGTAAGTATGCAGTTTGCATTGGTATTGCATGGACACATCTCATTTATTGTTTTTTTATTTGTGTTACAAGAGTTCATGAAATAATCAGTGGAGGTACAGTGGCTATCTGTTTCTCATTCAGATGATCACATAATTAGTCTCTTACTCTTTAACCAATAACTTCACCTATAATTTTATTTTCATTGGTAACAATAACATATTCAAAGATCAGAAAATCTTATCATATATGATAGTTTTCTTTTAATCCCCATTGCCAACAACTGAACCCCAGGATCAAGTTGTGGTTTGTCCCAGTGTAGGTGCCTCCCACTTCTGTGATTCCTTTAGCTCTGGATCTTCTGCCATATGTGTTGGTGGAAGGGGTCTCCTAAGTGGGAATGTAGGCATCATGAGGAAAAATACCTCTCTTTTCACATTTTTTAATATTTCAAAGTAGGTGGAAGTAGAGAAGTGATGTTAACTCATTAAACAAAAGAGAAAACTAAGGTCTGGTCTACACTAAAGACATTTATTGGTATAACTATATTGCTCGGGGGTGTGAAAAATCCACACCGCTGAGCAATGTTGTTACCAGCCCTAAACCCCTGTGTAGATAGCGCTACATCAGCAGGAGAGCTTCTCCTGCCAACATAGCCACCGCTGCTTGCAGGGGCTGGACTAATAAAGTCCGATGGGAAAGATCTCTCCCATTGGCTGAGAGCATCTGTAATAGCAGCGCTACACCAGCGCAGCTACATTGGTGCAGCTGCGCCAACATCTGCTTTATTGTGTAGCCATAGCATCAGACACAAAACCATAGAATCACGACTCAACATGCGTTTATCCGGAAGTCTGAAATTGGAGACTGACACATTCATTGCCTTACTGGTGGCCATCATTTCTAAAGCCTGAAAGTCCTTATTACCCACTCAGGCAGCCAGTTTGGGATCCATGGGGAAGGAATGTCCTATGAAGAACTCTCTCTCTTTGCCTCATGAAACTTTGGATTGAAATAGCAAAGGATAATTCTTCCCAATCTAACCGTGGCATCCTTTGGGATTGTAATCAGTGCTACTGAACTAGGGAGTGGTGTTCCAAAACCAGTTTTACCTGGGCCATAGTTCACCACAGATTCCTTTTCAGGGGTGAAAACCAACAACTATGTGCCTATTATTTCTATTCAAGTTCTTGCATAATTCTTGGCCTTGCTTATGGTAAATTTGCACTTCTCCAGTGGAGAATCCCTTACCAAACCTTGCAGAATGTCAGCGGTGTAAGTGAGGAATGGCTTCCCCAAACATGCCCAGTTTATTTCTTTAATGTGGTGGCGCTAGTCTAAATTAGGAACTAGATACAGGTCTGGGTCAGACTCTCTGTAAACTACCAGAGATGGGGTTTCTATTTGAAAATAGTTATTTCCTGCGGCTATCTCACATTCAATACTGAACTTATTTTAAACACATTTAATGCACCTACAAAAAACGTCATATCTATTTCTCCACATCTGTATCATTAAGAGTAGCATTTCACAGATTATAGGATTAGCTAGGGGATATCTTCAGGAGTAATTTCCTGTAGGGCCAGGATTACAGATTCTTTGGGAAACAAAAACATGGGCATTTTGCCTCATCACTAGTCACTTACTGTGGATCATCTGAGACAATATTAACCTAAACAACTGAACACCACTGTGATCGCAGGCAGTTACTTCAGTTAGTAGGACAGTTTGGACCATGCTGTTGGTCACCATTTCTGAGGGGAGATTTAAAAACACTACTGTTTCTTTGTTAGCATGTCCAGTAGATTGGAAAGTCTTCTCCTGTTGACTGAACTGCATTTGAACTTTCTCCATGTCAAGAAGAAAGGCAAGGAGCAAGCAAAATGCAATTAAGACATGATGACATTAGCAAGTCTCATTTGTCTCAAAGTCCCCAATAAATCTGAGGTACATTCTGTGAAACAAAATTAACATCCAGTTATATGACCAAACAGCCTTCAGGAAAGATAGAAAACCCAGATCAGAGAGAGATACAAGACACTGTGATTTTCAGGTGAAGTGAAATTCCAAAGCAGGTTACTTCTGATGACTGAGAATCAGGGACAAGAGATTCTCCCATCCCGTTCTCCGCTGGTCCATTTAAACCTGCTTTACTCAGCGCTGTCTCATTCTTGAGTTGTGTTACTTACAAAAGTTTTAGCATCATCATAATGGGGGGAGGAGGGGAAACCACAGCCAACCTGCCCATAAGTGGCTTTGTCAATAGACGGAAACTGGGATTAAAACTCTGATTGATCACACTGTGTTTGGGACCCATTTGAATTCCCCTTCCGTATCTGTGACACTTTCATCTCCTGCCCCCATGTATCTGATTTAAATCAAATAAATCACAGCATCATTCCCTAGCACAGAGAGCTGAAAATACTGCATTACCTGATTTTTTGGGAGGTAGAGGGGTAGAATATGAAGAAGATAAAATTTGCATGGCTCAGACTGAAGGTAACAGTTCTGGGGTGATGGGGAAGCAGGGGCTCCCTCTGAGTCACCCCTTATCCTTCCACTGTTGCAGAGGTTGAAATGACACTTGTGTGTGTATGTGTGTGCCCGTGTCCCCATGTTCCTGCTCTTCATTATATTCAAATATATTTTAAGTGAGGATAAGAGTACAAAGAATAACTGCTGTTTTGCACAGCACAAAGCCACTTGAGAATAACTGCAACTGAGACAATCTGTCCCCAGAGGGGAACTTGGTGTCTCTAAGAGTAACTTTACAGTGGGAGGAACAGTATAATTGAGATGCTCCAAATTAGTTTAGACTAAGAAAAGTGATGGAGTTTAGGTCAGGTCATGAGGAAACATGTTTGCTATCTCTGGCCACTATACATGAGCTATTTGTTTACTGAAAGAATAGTTGTGTATTTACATCATGATCGCTAATTCTCACTAACTCCACAGTGATGAGACCCAGGTAGATTCTATCCCAATGTAGCTACATAAGGTCACAACGATCTCCTCCACCTCGGGCTCATAGACATTCCTGGTAAAGGACACACACTTCCATGACTCATAGGACAATGGAGATGATAGAAAGAACCACAGGATCCACCCCATAGAAGGATGAGCTGCAAAAGGCAAAAGTGGGCAACTCACCTGGGGGAATTGAGAGATGATGGTGAAGCAAATTGTGCAAACAACCTTAAAGGTCACTATGTGGGAATTAGCAAAAGTATTAACTAATACAAAAATCTTTTGACATCCCTAGACAAGGTTTTTATGGTGTTTGTCTCCCTTACGGATTCTCTGATGATAGATAAGGGCGGAGCTCCGAGTGAAGTTTTTCCCACACTCAGAGCATACATAGGGTCTCTCTCCTGTGTGAAGTCTCTTATGTGTAATAAGGGCTGAGCTCTGAGTGAAGCTTTTCCCACATTCACAGCACTCATAGGGTCTCTCCCCTGTGTGGATTCTCTGATGTTTAAGAAGGGCTGAACAGTCAGTGAATTTTTTCCCGCACTCACAACAGTCATAGGGTCTCTCTCCCGTGTGGATTCTCTGATGGGTAATAAGGGCTGAGCGCTGAGTAAACCCTTTCCCACACTCACAGCATTCATAAGGGCTCTCCCCAGTGTGGATTCTCTGATGTGTAGTAAGGTCTGAGCTCTGAGTGAAGCTTTTCCCACACTCAGAGCACTCATAGGGCCTCTCTCCTGTGTGGATTCTCTGATGCGTAGTAAGGTCTGAGCTCTGAGTAAAGCTTTTCCCACACTCACAGCACTCATAGGGTCTCTCCTTTGTGTGGATTCTCTGATGTTTAATAAGGGCGGAGCTGTCGGTGAAGTTTTTTCCACACTCACAACATTCATAAGGTCTTTCTCCAGTGTGAAGTCTCTGATGTGTAATAAGGGCAGAGCTCTGAGTGAAACTTTTCCCACACTCACAGCATTTATAGTGTCTTTCCCCAGTGTGGATTCTCTGATGTGTAATAAAGGCTGAGCTCTGAGAAAAGCTTTTCCCGCACTCACAGCATCCATAAGGTCTCTCCCCTGTGTGGATTCTCTGATGTTTAATAAGGGTTGAGCTGTCAGGGAAGTTTTTACCACACTCACAGCATTCATATGGTCTCTGTCCTCTGTGTTTTTGCTGATGTCTAATAAGGGCTGAGGTCTGATTGAAGCTTTTCCCACACTCACAGCACGCATAGGGTCTCTCTTTTGTGTGGATTATCTCATGTCTAATAAGGCCTGAGTGGTAACTGAAGTTTTTCCCACATTCACTGCATGTATTTTTCCTCTTCCCCTTGAGGATTCTCTGCTGAGTGGTGGTTTCCTTGAGGTCCTTTTGAGTTCCCTGACTATTAATGGATTTACCAACTTTCTCCTGTAGTTCATTTCCCTGCTGCTTCTCTGGCCTGTGCTGCCTGTCACAGGCTTTACCCTGCTCATGACTCCTGGACACATTCCCTTTGGATCTTCGTGATGATGCTCCACATGCTTCCACTTGTGCAGCATCTTTCTCGTGAGGATTCTGATCTGCGTTCTTACCCATCATCCCATCACCTGCTGGTATAAAGAGAGAAACCTCAAAAATAGGGATGGAGAAGGGGACAGTAAACCAAAGTAAGTGTTGGAGAGAAGGAAAATAAAAATCATGAGCTGAATTTCCCCAAATACCTTTCCCAGAGTGGAGAGGAGGGGATCGATTCTGCCTCCACATTCCATCCAAACACTCAGTGGGAAATGGGGGAAACTACTCCCTGGTGTCAGTCAGGGTGGGTAGGAAGCCATGAGCGATATCTGCTATGAGGTTCTGGCACCTGCTGGGGACAATCCTGAACTCAGAGAACTCATAAGGTTTTTGTGGGATATCACAGCTTTGGGCACTGATGGTATTTGAATTAGTTTAATAATTCCTCACCTGTGAAGGCATTTCTCCGCATCTTTCTTTCCTCAGATCCCTGGAGATCTGGGACCCATGGCTCTTTTCTTCGTTCCAGCTGGGACATCATGTCAGGTTTGGAAATTGGAAACCCTGGTGAAGAGAAATAAAACAGTCTCTCTGGGACCGTCCCCTTTCACGTAGGCTTATAGTCCTCCGAGGGCAAGCCCACCAGCTCCAGACCTTTGGATGGCAGCACCTGTTTTCCTCATCATGGCTCTCCAGTGAGTCCAAATGATTTCAGACTCCTGGTAGTGACTTTACCTCTTTAGAAGGTGATGAAACCAGTAGGCATTTGCAACAAAACCTAACAGTTTTTTTTTCAAAACAAGCCGGCATTTATTAGACAACTAGAATACAGGATGGAAGGATTCTCAGGTTAGCCTGATAAAGCAAAACTTAACTTAAAGTTCATGTTGTCAAAGTCATCTGCCCAGCTTTTCCAAAAACTCCTCAATTTCGTCTCTGTTTCTTTCTCCCTGGGCAGTAGCAAACTTAAAAAGCACAGCCTGTTTATAGCCTAGTCCCTCTGTCCCAAGTTGTAGTCCTGCTCTGTTCCCATGTTCTGTTTTCCTTCCTCACAGTCATTACAGTATAGAGTCTGTCTGTCTTCCATTGTTTCTCCAGGGCACTCTTTTCCTATGTGGACAATTCCTGACAGAATATCCATGCCAACATGGAGAGGCCTACCTTTCTCCAATAGCAATTACTTCCCCTGTCCCACAGAAGGAATTAATTCCTTCACACTCAGTGGGTAACAAAGCAAAATGTGAGGGGAAGCTGAGTCATACATATTTTTTAAGAAAGAAAGAAGATATGGTCAAAGCAAAGGGCTAGGATAATGGTGTGACGGGTTGGGTCACAGAAACCCCCTTGGGACTGCCACCTGATGTGCTGAGACTACCTCTGAGCCCGTTTTCCCTGCCAGCTTGGGACTTCAGAACCCTGCCTTCTTGAGCCAGATATGCTAATCTGTTGCAACACAGACTCAGGGTCTGACCCACGCGCCCAAAGCTGCAGACTTAACTGAAAACAGCTTAGAAAGTACTCCCATCTCCAGCACCCAGAGACCCAGTTCCCAATGGGATCCAAACCTGAAATATATCCATTTTACTCTGTATAAAGCTTATACAGGGTAAACTCATAAATTGTCCGCCCTCTATAACACTGATAGAGAGATATGCACAGCTGTTTGCTCCCCCAGGTATTAATCACTTACTCTGGGTTAATTAATAAAAAAAGGTGATTTTATTAAGTATAACAGGTAGGATTTAAGTGGTTCCAAGTAATGACAGACAGAACAAAGTAAGTTGCCAAGCAAAATAAAACAAAACACACAAGTCTAAGCCTAATACATTAAGAACTGATTACAGATGAAATCTCACCCCCAGAGACTTCCCAATAAGCTTCTTTCACAGACTGGACTCCTTCCTAGTCTGGGTCCAGCAATCACTCACACTCCCATAGTTACTGTCCTTTGTTCCAGTTTCTGTCAGGCATCTTTTTGGGGTGGAGAGGCCATCTCTTAAGCCAGCTTAAGACAAAATGGAGAGGTTTCCAGGGCCTTTTATATTCTCTCACTTGTGAGCAGAAACCCCTTTGTTCTCTTGTGCAAAATCACAGCAATAAGATGGAGTTGGTAGCCACCTGGGCAAGTCACATGTCCATGAATGATTCAGCTTTTTGCAGCCTGACACCATTGTTTACATGTTAGTTTGAACGTTCCCAGGAAAGCTCAGATGTGAATTGGCATCTCCCAAAGTCCATTGTCATTTAAGTGTTTCTCGATTGGACACTTACTGAGAATAGTCCTTTCTCAAGAAGCTGACCAAATGCTTCACTGACACATACAGACAGCATAATCATAACCAGCAAACTACAACCTTTCCATAGACACCCCACTTGACCTCCTCTGTACAAGACCTGGTGCAACCATAGGACCCTGGTTGCAACAATGAGCATTCTCTTCAGATCGTATAAATCTTTTGCCTTTTTTTTTTAAACTAAATATTTCCCTGGAGAGGAACATTTATGAGTTTCTACCCAATTTTGTGAGGCTGTTACCTATTGTTGTGGAAAGAAAGCAGAATTGTGGTTGGACTTTGTTATTTGAACAGAGCAGTGGCGTGTCTCCTTGGTTTTTCGGGGGAGGGATAGCTCAGTGGTATGAGCATTGGCCTGCTAAACCTAGGGTTGTGAGTTCAATCCTTGAGGGAGCCATTTAGGGATCTGGAACAAAAATCTGTCTGGGGATTGGTCCTGCTCTGAGCAGAGGGTTGGACTAGATGACCTTCTGAGGTCCCTTCCAACCCTGATATTCTATACGGTCACCGTTTATGTCAATAACATCACAAATGGATCATAAAATATAGGACTGGAAAGGACCTCAAGAGGTTATCAAGTCCTTCCCTGAGACAGGATCAAACATAAGTATACCATTCATGACAGGTGTTTATCTAATGTGTTGTTAAAAACCGCCAATGATCGGGATTCCACAACCTCTGTTGGTAACCTATTCCAGTACTTACTGTGATAGACCCGGAACAGCAGAGTAGCAAAAGGGAGATATACTGGCCACTGGATAAGTAGTTTTCTGTTCCCTGAGCGACCAGAGCAGGGGCTGCTCCAGGCTAATAGACCACCTTACTCCAATTAACCTGCTAAGAGTCAGGAGAGGCAGTTAAGCACCTGACTCTAATTAAGGCCCCTCTGATGCTATAAAAGGGCTCACTCCAGTCAAGCCAGGGGGAGCCAGGGAGAGGAACTTGGAGCAAGAGGTGTGCAAGAAGCTGAGAGTGAGTAGGCAATACTGCTGGAGCACTGAGAAGTACAAGCGTTATCAGGAGGAAGGTCCGGTGGTGAGGACAAAGAAGGTGTTGGGAGGAGGCCATGGGGAAGTAGCCCAGGGAGTTGTAGGTGTTGTGCAACTGTACCAGGAGGCACTCTAAACAGCTGCAGTCCACAGGGCCCTGGGCTGGAACCTGGAGTAGAGGGTGGGCCTGGGTTCCCCCCATACCTCCCAACTCCTGATCAAACACAGGAGGAATTGGCCTGGACTATAGCTTCTACCAGAGGGGAAGGTCTCTGGACTGTTTCCTGACCCACGGGGTGAATCTGTGAAGCGAGCAAATCCGCCAATAAGCGCAGGACCCACCAAGGTAGAGGAGGAACTTTGTCACATTACCTATTCTGACAGTTAGGAAGTGTTTCCTAATATCCAACTTAAATTTCCCTTGCTGCAGATCAAGCCAATCACTTCTTCTCCAACCATCAGTGAACATGGAAAACAACTGGTCTCCATCCTCTTTGTAACAGTCCTCTCCATATTTGGAGAGTGTTCTCAGGTACCTCCCCCCCCCCCAGTTTCTCAACACTAAACATGTCCAATTCCTTCAACCTTTCCTCAAAGGTCAGGACTGAGGAGGTAGTTTATTACTTCTGAATGCAGATGAGCAGGGCAAGGTTGCATTTGTCAAGATCAGAGAAAAGGATTTTGCAATAACTGAGAAAGGAGAGGATGTGAGCCCAGGGAAGAGTTTTAGCTGTGTGGATGCATAGGGAAGGCTGTTGTCAAGATGTCTGGACTGGCTCACATATGTGGTGTTACAAACAGTGCACAAACCCCAAACAGGTTGTCTGCAGAGTGACATGATAGAGGCAGCAGCTTTAAAACAAACAAAAGGAAGTATTTGTTCACACAACTCACAGTCAACCTGTGGAACTCTTTGCCAGAGGATGGTGTGAAGGCCAAAACTATAACAGGGTTCAAAAAAGAACTTGATAATTTCATGGAGGATAGGTCCATCAATGGCCTCTGTTTGCCAGAGACTGAGAGTGGGCAACAGGGAATGGGTCACTTGAGGATTACTTGTTCTGTTCATTCCCTCCTAAGCACCTGGCATTGGTCACTGTCAGAAGACAGGATACTGGGCTAGATGGACCTTTGGTCTGACCCAGTATGGCCATTCTTATCTTCTTATGTTCTATAATTAGATGTCACCAACTATCAAGTATGTACTCCTCAAGCACTGTGATAGATGATCCTTTACACTAAGAATCACAATATTCTTGTGACATTATCTGATTAAAATATGACTATATAGACCATTGTTGCAACCACTGTTATATATTTGCAACAAATCTTGTACAAAATGTGGCATATAAGATGTCTGTGGAAAGGTTGTGATTTACTGGTTATGATTATGCTATCTGGATGCATGTATCCTTTTTGTATTTGAAGTTATAAGTATTGGCTCTATACTTGGATTTCAAATGTTTGCTTCTGGGGTAATGCCCACAAGGTAGTTAGCCAGCACATCTTGAAGGGACTATTCAAATGGAGTGGCCCATCAAAAGAACATTTAACTGACAATGAACCATGGGAGATGCCTATTACTCTTAATGGAATTTCCTGTTGTGACTTGGTGAAATGCACGGACATGGGACTTGTCCATGTGACTCCAAACTCCATCTTGATACTGTACTTTTCCATGGTAAGAACAATAGGATTCTCTCCACGTGGCAGAAAATATAAAAGGCCTGGGAAACATTTCCATTTTGCCTTTATCCTGCTCCAGCCTCTTTTCTGCTCCAGGTTCGGGAGTATGGACTTATACTAATGGGAGCATTGTAACCAATGGACTGCGGACCTTTCAATGATTTGGAAGCAACCAGAGACTTATCAAGCCAGCAGTTTATTCCATCACTGCTACAAGCCTGAACCAAGAACCTTGCAATTATTGTATGTATTTGATTCCTTTAACCAATTTTGACTCTCACCTTTCTTTCTTTCTATGAATAAACCTTTAGATTTTATATACTAAAGGATTGGCATCAGTATGATTTTTGAGTAAGATCTGAGTTATATATTGACCTGGGTGTGTGGCTGGTCCTTTGGAATCAGAAGAACCTTTTATTTGAAGAGATTGGTTTTAAAGAAGCACTCATCTCTAAGTCTAGTGTTTTCGGTGGTAATACAAGGACTGGAATGCCTAAGGAAACTGCTTTTATTACTTCTTGTTAGCCAGTGTGGTGAAACAGAAGTTTACTTTTGTTGCTGGTTTGGTATATCCTAGGGGGGATTAGCCACCAGT